TATTCGTGCAGACTCGACACGTTTACTTTCGGCCTAGTACGTACTGTATTATTCACGCACCCCACAACGACAGGACAATACGGGGCTTACTCACCGAACGGCCGCTCGAGGCAGAACGTGGTGGGGCTCACTCTCTCTCTTCCTCTCTCTCTACCTCTCGAACTCTCTGTCTTTCTCTCTCTCTCTAACTCTCGAACTCTCTGTCTTCCCAAACTCTCTCTACGATCCTCACTCCTTCGCTCCTACCCGCGAACTACCTCGAGACAACGGCGAATTCCCGCCTGTCACCTGCAGGCCTACTGTTTCGCCGTTCTCTGCCGCTAGAGGGGACCCACTGCATCCGGCATGGCGGCCCCCTTGTTGATGTTACGATCGGTAAGCAAACCCCCGACAAAACAGACACGAAGACAAAACAATTAGACAATACAAACATTCAACCATCTCCCCATCTCCCGGTACCCAGGGGGCTACACCCCCACCGCTCTGGGAACCCGAGGGCCCGATGCCACCGCTACACTCCTCCCCCCTTCAAGATCGACCGATCCCAAAGGCTTTCCGAGCGGTGCACCGGCGCCCTATTAGTTGGCACCTACTTCTGGGGTGACTTGTCCCTGGGGTCCAGCAGGGATTGCATTGCTTCCGCCCTCCTCCTGAGTTCCCCCAGGGCCGCAATTTCGACCACCTGCGCGTGGGGCTGGGCCCAGCGGACGTATTGAGCCCAGCGGACGGCTCGCTCCAGGTGCTCCACCCCCATATGGTGCACGAGTTCCGGTGCCGGCAGGCCGTCTGCGCCGCTGAACTCCGGGCAATGCCAGTGCCCGCTACTCGCCTCCGGCGTTCCCTCCCACAGGGTGCAGAAACGCCGGAACACGACCCGTTCGCCGTCTGGCATGTCCTCCAGGTACATCGGCTCGAGCGATCCAGCTGCTATGGCTGGCTCGGACGTCGACGCGGAAGACTCCGCGGGCGCCCGAGCCAACGCAGCTGTTGGGGTCGGTGTTGCTGCAGTCGACGATCGCCTCGCCGACGCTGCCTCCCGTCTTGCCGCGCGCTTCGCCCCCATCGACGCCGCGCGCGAGTCGACGGCGCGTGTTTGGCTGCAGCCAGCGTCGCGCGCTCCGTCCGAGTCGACGGTGCGCGCTTGGCTGCAGCCGACGTCGCGCGCTCCGTCCGGGTCGACGGCGCGCGCTTCGCGGCAGCTGACGTCGCGCGCCCTGCGGCAGTCGACGCCGTGCGCCCCGTGGCAGGCAGCACTGCACCGGCAGCGTGCACCTTTGCCTTCCGTGGCGCATCGGTGGGCGGACCCCGCTTTGCGGAGGCCCGGGGCGCAGCTGCAGGCACAGGCATGGGCGACCTGATGCCAGCTGCTACCTGCGCGTAAGCCCGGCCATCCCTACGCGCCGGGCGCAGGATGGCTCGGCCGGCTGGTGGTGACGCCGGCGCCACCTTCTGGGCGCTCTGCCGTAGCGCCGTCTTCTCCCGGAGGTAGCCTTTCGCGCATCCCCTGTACTCGGGGGTACGGGCGTGTCGCTCCGGCCACCTCCCGTCGGCGCCCATCCGGTAGACCCGACCAAGGCGGTGCGCTGCCGCCAGGTGGTGTGACAAGCGGTACAGCACCGCGCCTGCGNCCACTGATCTCTATAATATAATCTGGATAGAGCATTGGCCTATCCGCGCTTAACATGACAGTGACGCCAGAGCGCCATCTTCCAACCACTCTGTAAAGCTGAATCTGCCGGTCTGTGCCCCACAACATTTCAAATGAATAATAAGAAAACGCGACTTATTCTTATTATTCAAATTAGCATGAAAAAAAAACTTTGATCCATACTTAAGAGATTATATAAATATGGATATGTATATAGAACATGTATGGAGCTAAGGGAACGAGAAATACACGAAAAATAATTTTTTACGTGACGTCACGAGTCACGTGCTAGCTAGTCGGAGCCGTATTGTTATGTCGAATCTGTGATCTTGCAGCAATTCTCGCGGTCGCACATCCGGGCTTTTCCGTGACCCGAGGTCACGAAACCACTTGACAACGCCGGTTGAGTGAAAACAAACACGCTGGAGTGTGGCGACTGCGTGTGTTTACATTGCATTGCATGTTACGATCGGCACATTTAGATCACATTCCTTTGCTGTTTTTGGTTAGTTTTTACGTGTTAAACATGCCGGGAAATTGTGAAGCTGTAGGGTGTACTAATCATACACTTATGAAAGAAAATAAACCTTCATTTCACCGGTTTCCAAAAGATGCTGATCGGAAAAATTCCTGGGTTAATGCACTGAAGAAATTGAACCGAGATGGTACGAAATGGACGGCATCCAATGCAGCTAGAGTATGCGGGGAGCATTTTCTGAATGGTAGGAACAGGTCCTTACTTCACATTTTAATATTATAAAAAATAAATAGACACATTCTTGTAATAATTTTAGAAACAACAAACTTGTAATTCACTCTACCTCAAATATGTAGCAGTAATGACTTGTACATCATGTTAAATTAAAATTGCTTAGGATTGTTTTAATCGGACTATAATTTGTAGTTACAAAATGTATGATAATGTGATTGTTAATGTCAAAATGATTTTTTTATTTAAAGCATGGGCATATCCTTAATTTTAAAACTAATACTAGTCGTGTCTTTTTTGTTATTTTTCCAGGTACACCCAACCATACAGATAGTGCACATCCAGATTACGTGCCTTCGGTGTTCAAACACAAGCCAAACCATGGTGCTGAGAAAAAAATAGACAGGTACAACAGTGCAGTGAAAAGACGCCGTCTTAAGTACGATTCCCCAAGTGTTATGACAGATTCCAACACGAACATTGACGGACCCATATCTTGTCTCCATCCAAAGAATTACCAGCAGCAGAAGCGCTTTTAATCTTGTCAACACCAGGACCGTCGCAGAACTCTGAAAATTCATCGCCGGCCTCATTTGCAACCCCAGTTTCAGCAAGTGAGAGAACCATGCTGTACGATGAAATGAATTCTTTGCGTGCCGAAAGAGATGCAGCCCTAGACCAGTTGCAACAAACTAAGGAGAAACTACAAAAAGCTTCTTTTACTGCTGGCTCGGTTCATGAAAATGACTCTAAGTGTAAACACAGTACTGGACTATCATGGATTGTTTTTCTCACAACCTTCAACTTCCTTTCAGCATTTATTCCAAGTGTTAGGCAACACAGGAATGTCATGTCACCTATGGACCAATTTTTCATAACACTAGTCAAACTTCGCACAGGTGTAACATTTGATTTTTTAGCTATCCATACCAGCATAGGGAAAACCACTGTAATCGAGATATTTTGGAAGTGGGTAGACATTATGTATACAAACCTTGGTTACCTGATTACAAGTCCAGATGCAGAAGCCGTGCGCAAAACACTTCCCCTTGTCTTCAAGCGTTGCTATCCCAGACTTACCTGTATCGTAGACTGCTTTTAAATTTTTATAGATCAAGCAAAAAAATTAAAGGCCAGAGCTCAGACTTACAGTAGTTACAAAAAGCATAATACTATGAAAGTGTTTATAGGTTGCACACCTTTAGGTGCCATTTCTTACATATCAACGGCATGGGGTGGCCGTGTCAGTGACGTTGAGCTAATTCGAAAATCTGGATTCATTAACCTTGATTTTCATGCACCTGGAGACCAGATTCTTGCTGACCGTGGCTTTATTGTGCAAGAAGATTTTGCAATTGAGGTTGGCGCAGAATTTATTATACCAGCCTTTACCAAGGGTAAAAGTCAATTATCTGCCCAGGAAGTTGAAGTGTCTCGTAAGCTGGCTTCTATTCGTATTCATATTGAGAGAGTCATTGGTGTACTAAAAAACAGGTACACAATTTTACAGGGTCCCCTTCCTATTAATTTTATTAAGTCCATCAAGGATGAAGCTATGGATGTTCAGCTTGCGAGGATTGACAAAATTATCACTGTGTGTGCTTGTTTGGTGAATTTGGGAGAGAGTATCGTTTATAACGAGGATGCATAAAGCAATTAAAAATTGTATTTTTATGTATTATTTTGTATTGTATTGTATATTATTGTATGATAATTTTCTTTTCTTGGGGTGCCATTGTTTATAATTGTTCATAAATTAAATGCACTACCGGAGTACCGGTACTCAAAATATTAAAGGATCATAATAATAGACCTTAATAATTTCAACCAGGTGTGAATTCAAGTTTACTGATTGTGCTTTTTGTACACTAAAACAAAGAACTCATATTATTTGGATGGACATTGCGTCTGGATCTGTGTGTAGTAGCTGTGGGTTTCTTTCAAACTCAGTTCGCCATCACTTATCTGTAAACAGCTCGCCTTGTCTGCGACTAATACTATACCCGCCACGTCATTGTCCCTGTGCTTGAATGGGCATTTTATTTCTACTACCCAGTGCCACAACAAGAGCACGAAACCATGGAGTCGGGCGACGCCCCAATATATGAATGGTCGTTGCATAGCCACAAATCTGTCAGGGGCGTAGCCAGGATTTTAAAAGTTGTAGGCATGACTATCTGAGCGGAGCGCCACCATCGGTTGGCGCGGAGCGTACAAGAAAATTTTTGGTTTTAGAAACCCCTCAGATGGCCGAAAACGACCCTTCCCGAGTGTTCATTCTGGTTCCCTGGCTTCTTGCTAACTTGAGACACCTCATTCAATATCACTTTTAAACCAAAAAACAAACGAGTTAAAATAGTGTTACGAACGAGTTAAAATGTAAAAACTGACAAGATCGGATCCTAGTCTTTTTCGGCGGGTAGAGTGTTGAATGAAACGGCACGCGATAGAAATGACAGCCTAGATGACAGAAGAATAGGTCACCTAATTTAGCCATATTCTTGCTACGTTCATTTCAATAGTTTTTCCTGTCTGACTCTAAACTCGTCCAGCAAGCTTATGGATTTGAATTATGGGTGTTTAAAAAAAAGATAACTTGGCCAAAAAAAGTGTAGGCCCGGGCCTACAGTGCTACATACTGGCTACGCCCCTGCCTGTTGGCGATACAGCAATGTCTTGGTGACAGTTCATTATAGCGTCAGCATACTGCCTAGCAGCAACAGCTTCATGCGTCTTACCCCACTGGATTGCAAATAAACATATAAACATATAAATTATAACATATATATTATAATTATATTAATGTATACTAATGATATATATATATATAATATATATATAATAATATATATAATAATAATAATAATAATAATAATATATATAATATAATATAATATATATATATATTAATATATGTATATTAATATATATTAATGTTATATATAATTATAACATATAAATTATAACGCATTCGTCTTCAGCACTGTGTATCGTATTCACGGTACACTCCAAGCATTGTGTTGTTTTCACTCCAGTAGCGTGCGGTCACGCACTGTTTGCCGGAAGTGACGTATTGCCGACCATGAGAATACAGTCTTGTCGGGTTATTTACATTACTGTAGCGTTTCGTGCTTTCCGGCGACACCCGATGGCGCCACCGGCCAACACCTTAAATGGCTAGCACACAACCTAGGTATATCACTCACCCGTTGTGTCCGGAGACGTTGTATTGGCCGTGATCGTCGGCCCCCGGACCTCGCTAGCCACCCGAGCGCGTTAGAAGCTACTGCGCCCTCGCAATAACCCGTTCCGTCGTGCTCAGGTCCTGATGCGTCGTAGTTAGTCAACAGTGCAGGACGAGTAACGACACGTATGCACACCGCAGGGCAACTCCCACCCCCTGCCCACTAGACTCGCGTTACGATGTATAACAAGTGTATACTACGGTAAACACTGAGGTTAGACACACAGTATAGACTGTGAACGCAGCCGGGCAAAAGGGGCTACAGTACAGTAAAGTATCGGCGGCTTCCCC